TTGCTTTTGCCAAAAAATGTCGGACCAATCAAAAGTTGCTGTCTGATGGCCAGACTCTTATTAGAGGGACTCTATAGATTCATCGAACAAAAATTGAGAAAGGATCATCAATGGCGCTTCCCACACAAGAATATCTTCATTTGGCGAACGCGTGACGCCAGCTCAATTAATGTAATACAAGATACCCATATTACGCCCCACTTCGGTGATAACGATATTTAATTATATCAGAACCAACGCGTTTGCGCCTTTCGCTATCTCGATGCAAAATTCAATCGGGCGAGCGAAACAACGATTAATTAACGTTTGCGGCAGGTCGCGATTTTCCCTCGTTACGCACGCGTAACCCAGCAGAATTGACGCTATTTTTGCATATCGTTTTGAACGGCAAAATCGCGAGAAAATACCGACACGCCAATGAAGTGTCGTAACTGTCGCCGACGCGCGTTACTTCGTCAAAGCGACAAAATAATTAGCAATTTGTGTCATTCAATTAAGTGGCGCTCGTTTTACTGAAATATCGCAGCATTCAAACGTTAATTTACCGTTTTATAAATTAGGAGGATCGTCGATCTGTCGCTCCATTTGTTATTACTTTTCACGCAATTTCCTTTTCTTCTTCAACTGAAATACATCAATATATACACACACACACACACACACATATTTTTTTTAAACTGAAATATATTATAATACGAGTTCACGTACGGAATTTACATATCAAGTGACATCCACGCGAAACATTGAGTAAAAAATCGCGTTGTATCGGGTAGAACTGAAGCAGGTCTTTTATTTTCTCTTTTGAAACAAAATACAGGTTATATGTTTGACATAGTTTTGCGTTGAAAAGAGAAGAAAGTAATATTTTGGCGATTGCCTGCAACGTGAAAATTCTATACCGGGATATGCAAACTTTTGACATACAACGTAATATCGTTGACGGTATTTGATATGCCATCGTTATCTCGTGATGCAGTGATGTATTATTGAACAAGTAATCTGCATTTCGATATCAGAAATAAGCTCGCATCGGTATTGTCGATACGTATCGGACTGACACGACCGCGTTACTCAGACGTCTCCTTCAACTCAATTTGACGAGTCACGAACCGAGGCCAACGTTCTCTTCCGCCATTGAGTCGATTTTAATGCCCTTCTCTCTCGGCGCGGCATCGCACTTAAATCGCGTTCGCTTAAGGCGCGATCGCGAAAGCAGGTACCCTCATGGCCACCGCGTGTAGCCTCGTCCGATCGAGGCCTGACTATACTACTGGCGAACTCACTAGGCGGTATTTATCGGGAAAAACTATATCGCGATATCGACATTTGCGTCATAATTACAAGAGCGTACTTGACAACGAGATATTGCATAATTCATGAGGAATTGTTGTTTTACAAAAGCACGAGATTTTATTCGGTCAAATTGATATTTTCATATTATTGACATTTATAAAAAAAATCATAGAACTCTTGTTTGATTCAACTTATTTGCTTGATTTTTATAGGTACGTGTGATTTTTTTTTAAATCTATGTCATTCATGATTTAATCGCGTCAACAAAGTATATTAATTGGGATATGATCTACGATAAAATTATATGTTATAATAGATTGGTATTGACTTTAGTTAGTAATGAATATATTTATATATAATTATATCGCCCTTTTATATCCAATTAACGACATTGTTAATATAGACATTCTCCAATTAAAACTTAACTAGACTCGCTCACTGTTATATTAAGTTCGTACTAAATAGCTTGTCGAAAGGATAATAATCAGTTTCAGGATTTTATCCCTCACCGGTCACCTATGCGACTTACTTTGAATAGTATTTTATAATTAAATCTTGCTTGTTTATAGAAAATTGCACTGGATATATATATATATGTATATATATTTACGATAATTATACGTGGACGAAATTGTTGCATCGTCAATTCTAAAACAAAGATCTGTAATAATAATTTTCGATAATAATCTGTGTACAATAATAATAGCGCGTTACAACAAATACGATAATATGTAACGATGATAGCTCATAATACATGTAACAACGATACAGTTGCGAATGCCGGAGCTCGAATTATTGGGAAGAGGAAACTTCCAGCCCGCCCGTATTATTATCTTACACAGTTCGCCTGTAATAACAAACCAGGATTGATTTAATTAGGGGCGGTGATTAAAACTGCATTTTCGCATGAAGGTTATCAATAATGATTGAGGCGCGTAAAACAGGTGTATAATAACATTACCGGCGCCATGCATGTATCTCGTGTCTACATATGTATGTGACGTGTGTACATGAGCGGGCGCGCGCGTGTGCGTACGAATTAAATAAATTCAGTGCGCGAGGTAGAATGTTACGAGAACAAATATCGGAGGGAGGAAGCCGAGAAGCGTTACCGAGTAGGCAGCGACGGCAGCGTTACGAAACGAGGCATTAAATCACTCGTACGCAAGCACGTGGCAATTGTAGAAGGCGAAAATGACCAAGATGGAGTTCCGCACTCAATCCCGAGCTCCATTCCGAATCGTGTGCTCTCGTATGCCGGAATTCGGTTAGCGGTAATGTAATCTGCCCAACGGTGAGGAGATACAGCACGGCGAAACAGCGCGAGTGCGGTCGTATCGCGCGACCGATATGTTGTTAGAATAAATCCGAATCTCCGGTGCACCGCGGGTGTTCCGGTGTTACAATTAATATTAATTACACGCGCGCGGTTCGAATCGCACGTAATCGAGCAAAAGCACGTGCTAAAGTCACGTTCGCTCGTAAATGTTCAGTAAATATTCATTGAGGCCGAGATTATTTCTTTAAGGGCCTTTGGTTCGACCTGCAGTGAGATTGGGAACAATTAATAGCCACCGTGCTGCAAAAATTAAAATAATAACGTTTGTCGCAAAAATGATTACGCTCGTAGTTTTGAATTCGCGTTGAATTGGACCACGTAAAAAGACCTGATCCGAATTCACAATGCAATTTAGCGTGTTTCAAGGCACCACGTAACTACGTCGGCATGTCGAACCGCAATTGGCCCGAGAGACCAGGCAGGGCCCGAGAGATCAGTTCCGCGCAACAAGCCCCAACTCGATATTCCGCCTCGAAGAAGGGACGTCCGACGACAGGACCGGGTGACACGATACACGCGACGGGCGGAAGTTAGCGACGCGACAGCGAGGGCCACTTCCAACACGATCGCCGCTCGATTCTCGACGAAATTCCGTGGCGCTTCCAAGGAAAAGTTTCGATTGCTAACGTAGTCTGATATTTCGTTTCCCGCACAGGCGTGTTCCTATATATAGAAGAGCTTGATTTTCTCGATTCAACAGGAAATTGAATTTTTGCGGCGAGACCTAAATAAAACCGACGTCCTCGAGGAAAATGAGAGCATAACAATTAAATTACAAACATCGAGGTATCATGCAATAATTATTTAATTTTACAAGACACTGCAAAATCGCGTTTTGTCCTTATATTTTTCCGCGATTAGAAAGTAAGCCGGTCACAAATTCTTTACTGTATGAAAGAAATTTTAGATGTAGAGATTTTTAATTATCCAGTGACTATTGAATTAAAATGTTTTATCGTACGCTAATAAAATATTCCGACGAAAAATAGGAATTCAAATTTAAATGCAAATATTTAAAATTATGATATGATTTATTAGATACGATATAAAGTCATATTAATGTAAAGTCAAAATTATAAGACATCGGGGCTTGAAATATATAATAATCAATCTGTTTTAAAAACATTACTTTACTCTTGAGTCGAGAAAAGCAACTTTTGACACAATTGCTATTGTAAATAGGATAAGCAGCCTGGTTATCGCAAGATAAATTGTTTCTTTGTGAGACTATCAGCGAGAAATCGCTTTACTGTCGCTGTTCATGGCACTGCGCGTGTTCATAGCTTTCGTGTATCTTCGCGAACGCGATTAGCGAGCCCGATGCACTAATTGGTGATAAAACTCGCGCATTCTTATTTTGTCTCAATGTATGATCTTGACACGTTTGTATACATTATATAGTTATACCTCAATTAATTTACTCGATTGTCGTCAATTTGACCTAGAAAATGTCTTACCGATCTTGTGTAGATTTGAAAAATTCAAAGGGGCTGCAAATAATAAAACAATTTTGATGCTCGAATAATTGAATTTTGAAACTCGCAATTTTATTTGCGAGTCGTGGGATTATCTGCAGTTTTGCATATTGATTATCAAGCGATGAAATTAGTCTCTTAATTATTTCCTAATTGAATGTCGCTTTCTACAACATTTTCCAATTCTCTTTGACACTTTGGAGTCAATGCGTTTTTGCGATATAAATGAGCACGAATATCGAGTCATTAAATACTTTATAATGCAAGCGCGGACTGTCTACCGTTATCCCCGAGGTGAAACGCAGTTTTCATTCCCGTCGTAAGTTCTTAAGTAATGGAAACTTTAATGGAATTCAGCACATCGCGTTCTCTCGCGCGCCTTTGCCTTCTCGATAAAGTGACAAACGTCCGCTAACTCTCGTCAGGATTGATGGGTTGCATAAAAATAATTGAAAATCACCGTTGCGTAATGGCTAACGGCAATGAAAAATTTAATAATACCCTTCTTGTATAGTAATAACAAATTCTTGCCCCGATTTTATCAGATTTAAATCACTCTGTCTATAATCTCAATAAATCCGATATGAAGGATTACTCAACATAATATTAATGATTGAAATTATTCGACTTCGAGAAGTAAAAACCGCGACAGATTAAAATTCTGTTGAGCTGAAATTGACTTCAAAATCGTACACACATAATGTACGTTTTCTATATCTTTTTTATTGTACATATATGTATATTATTCTTCATATTCTATTATGTACATAGGGTTATATTTTAGAAAATTCTCTTATCCTTTTTTATGTATATTATATCTGAAAAATTTTTTTGGCATTCTGTTTTCTATCATCTTAATAATTCTTATATGAAGGATGTGAAAAGATGCTTACCTCGCATCGTGCTGGACCCTAACGCGTCTTCCATCATTATGGGCTTATCTCTTCTTTTCTGTCTCTTTCTCTCTCTCTCTCTCTCTCTCCCTCTCTCTCTTTCGCACTTCAGATTCTTCTCGGCAACATTCCACGATTATCGGATGGCGAATCAGCCTTTCACGAGGCGTGTCGAGCTTTTTCAAGCACAGTGGCGGAGAGCATAGCGGACTTCCTCAAATTCGCGAACGCAAAACGGTGCACAAAGGTCGCGTCGTCTTTATCTCCCGAGTGTTCGAGCGTCACGTGTCAAGTGTCTCGGACAGAGAGATCTCGAGTACAACGACAATGCACACATCGAGATAGTGGCATTTAAGTGCGTCAAGTTATAAGTCAGATTCACGAAGTCGCGAATTTGATGCTTGGCGTCGACCAGTCGCCCTTACATGTAAATCACCCGGATCACGATCCAGCGAGATGGCCCCTGCATTTCGATCGCGCATCAGCAAACTAAGCGTGTGCGATAGCAGAAAAGAATTTCCGGGCTGGTTCTCCGAGATTATGTGTTTTATCTCTTTTAGCTTATTATTCTTACATTTAACTTTTTTTTATTCGCGAATCCCGCGAGAACAGTGAGTACGTAGCCGAGAAGGAGTGGAACCTCGCTCTTCTATCCCACGAGTATTGTTATTACAAATTTCTCAAACCTCCGAGAGATACCTCCGTCGAGAATCTCAAGATTCCCCGCGTGCGCAGGAATACAACGACTGTGACATGTGTGAGCTCGAGCGAGGATGATATTGTCTCACCGAGTTATCCTCAAAGTTATCAAGCTATTTTCAAGATCTTCCCCAGTTTCCATCTGTTTTTTTCACGAAATTAAATAATGTCTAATATGTATCCGGAAATTTTCATTCGAGCGATACCATCAGCTACCCGGGATTGTTTCATTTTTCCGTAGCGACTCTTCTGCTTTCCTTTCTTTATAGTCTCACGCGAGGTTCTCAAACCTCATCTGAAATTTACGATATTGATATCGCGATCATATCTTGAAATATTAATCCAGTTTACATTAATGGAATGAAAGGAAAAACGCTCGCAAACGTTGCTTCTTATATATCCAGAATTCTGCCGCTCTCTTCTCCAATTTTTCTTTAATTCCCCTTCTATTATCCCGTTATTTTTATTCTATCTTATATTTCAGGATTATATCGTTCGCAATTTGAAACTCGTGTGCAATTCGACGCAACTACTCGACTCCGCTCCGGCGTTCCCTTTGGCCCGATTTTGAATTTAATCGATGTGAGATCGATCCCGATTATTGGCGTTCGGTTCCTCGCGAAGTGTTCTCGATGCTCGGCTCTTAATGCTCGCAACACGCGTTCCCTTAATGTCCCTAATGCGTGCAGTCACGGACGTGCGTGCCACCGTATGACGATTATCGTCTTAAGCGCGCGATGGCTGTGCCGATCGAGAGATTATGGCTGACCGAGATGCCTTTCTTTACTTTCCCAGATCGTGTTCCCTTTCCACTTTTCTCCTCGATCCGATGATTGATCGAAACCAACGTTACGATTAATCGAGACTTCGAACGATTACTTTCGAACGAATTCCCGCATCCGATAAAGATCGAGCGATCGTCTCCATCGGTCTTTCGCGCAGGACGCTCTTTCTCCTTAAAAGGACTTACTTCCGGAAGTCGATCACTCGTCACGATTGTCGCGAATATACGCGATGCACTCTGGTTCAAGTAAGATACACTTTGATCGAGAGGAATAAATCTCACTTTGTTCGATCGATGATCGTTCGCGTTACGTGGTGTTTTCTTGGGGACCAGCAAAACCGACCGGAATTACTCAATTCCTCAACTCCGGAATGACGGAATAAACGATTTCGCGGAGCGTTCGTGTTAAGGGTTCGTCGACCGATTCGATCGACCGACCTTCCAGTGCAGAAACGCGTGCGATACGCCTCACACGGATGCCGCGCGCCGACTGACTGAGGTTGACCGACGATGCCGCGCGCGCGGTTCCGTGTTTCACGCCGATTTCCGTCGTCACGTGACCCGCTGCTCCGTCGACGTCGCGACGCGCCGCGCCGCACCACGACGCGCACAAGACGGCCCTCTCTCGCTCGCCGACCTCGAGGAGCCAACCCTAACACGATCGATATATTTATTGCCGATGTTAAGTATTGACAAGCCTTCGACGGATATCGGTAAACTGTTAAAAGGAAGGATGAGTTCACCATTCAAGGGGGTGTGTCTCCTTAAAGCGAGTAGAAACTACGCGGATATCTTTCGGAATGGATCTAACGAGGCAAAAATAAAATTTCGCCTGCATCTAACAACTCTTGGAATGAGAAAATTCTTTTTTTTTTCTCTTTTCATTTATTTATGTCTAATTCTCGTGCAAGTCACTAAAAGAATTTATGTAAAAGTAGGCCAAAGTGAAATAGTCACTGAGATTGAAGAAGAATTGTGAGGAAAGCTGGTTTTATTCAGTCTATAATAACCGCGTTATATGCGTTTTTCAATAGCGCAATTTAAGCCCGGGTCTTACGAGAATCGAGTTTAGGAGTACTGAATGGAGAAGAAATGCGATATTAAAAGAATCGTTGGAACGGGTATGCGAGAGAGAAAGAAACGAGAAAAATAAGAATTATTATTCCGAAGAAACTATTATTTCGAGTGTTTCGGAAGTTTAATTATGTGAATTGAAACAGTCCTCGTAAATCTAGAGGGGAGAGAATAAATTTACATATCTAACAATAAGTACATACAGAATGGACCGAATTGTAGTACAGCCAAATAAAAAGTAAAGTACAAATAATAGCAAAATGATATTAATATCCACATATTTAAAAATACCTGTATAAATATATCGTGTATATATATATATTGTATGTACTTGGTATTGTATTTGAATCTGACGAAAAGTAATAGATGTAATACGATACAATAGCTGAAGATATTAGGTGTGCACGATTCGTTACGTATCGCTATTATTTGGACAGAATTGGGTAATTGAGCCGACAGCCGGTGGATAATCGAAGTTCGGCTGGCAAATAACGGAAGCCTATCAATCGACCTCGATATAATGCCCGATATATTCCTATTAAACGGCGGCGACAGACAACATCGCGCGAGACCGTAAAGTGGATCACAAAGACGCCACGGATATGGCGAATTAAGCGGAGCAAAAGTCGAGACAGTTAATTCGGGGCTACGTTTTAATTAAAAAGGGCGGCGAGTAAATACGGGGATATAGCGAGTAATGTACAGGGTACCTCGCTAACTCTTTGTTAGAAGAACCATTTCACCGACGATTCCAATATTGGGACGCCCTTTATTTCGATTTGATCCTGCTGAGAAATAAAAGAGATACCTCTCGAGCTCTCTACCATAAGAAGCGCGAACCGAGCGACTGTAAACTCTTAAATGAGATGCAATGGAAATGGTTTTGCCCATCGCGATTTCGAGCGACTGCAATGGGATAACCACGCTACAGTTAGTTTATAAAACGTCGAATGTGCATATATCTGCTTGATTTTAAATTTTATTAAAATGTATTATACTAGCTTAAGTGAATCTGTGAAAACACATTTTACTGTTTTTCACCCCGTTAAGGGTCGAATTTCTAAAAATCTCTTCTTACTTCTAGGTACTTTACGTCATGGAAGGAATATACCTTATACTCCCCAAATTTCATGTTTTTAGGTTTGGGGATTTGGGCTGGGCGTTGATGAGTCAGTCAGTAAGGACATTTGTTTACATATACATAGATTTAAAATTTAAATAAATGTGTTAATTAAAAATTATAATAAAATAAATTTACAATGACTTTTTAATCGACTCGATTGGCTATTATCGACCATTGGTTTTGGTCAGATTAATTGTCAAGACGACCAAAACCAATGGTCGATTTGTCATGACAATGATAACCAATCGAGTAAATTAAAAAGTCTTAATTGTTAATTATTTATTGACGTAATAAATATTCTTATTCGATTTGAAAACGAATTTAATCCTTTAACGTAACGAAGTAAAATTTTCCTACTTAATTGCGACAGGCAAAAACTTAGTTCGAGAAAAGTTTTCTATTTTGAGAAAGAATTTACATGAGAATGAAGTTTGTAAATAAAATTAAGGTTTCGAATTGTAGGGCAACTTTTATGTGCGCGTGCACAAATAAGAATTAAAAATCATGCTCTTTAAGATTTTCATTACTGTAAGAACTCCTCTCCGAGGTAAAAAAATATATCAAGCTTACGATATTGACGTAAGATTGCTTGACGAAGAATTATTGATGTTACGTAGTTTACTTACGTCAACACGCAGGTCATTAGAGGCAGAGTTTCTAAATCTGGAAATACGCGTGTACATGAGCCGCGTAATAGGATAATGGCTAGATTTATAACATTATAACAGTAATTACCGCGCGAAGCAGGCTTCTGCTTTTATAAACTTTCGCGTGAGTTCGACTAACTTTGCGCTTTTCGTTCCCTTTGTTCGAACTGCTTTTTCTTGCCGAGCTCCATATCACGTACAATGCGAAACAAAAAAAAACAAATTTGCTTTGAACAGACTTTTGTTGACGTTCGATGAAAGTTATATGATTATAGTATGAAGAACGATGCACGATCTCACGGAAAATTCAACTTGATCGGATAAGACGCAGATCTGTTATCGTAATCTCGGCGTCGCGGATCGTCCGGATTTCATAATGAGATCGACACCGTACAATGTAGAATTGATTAAGTCCAGTTTTCATCCCGAAGCGGATGCAGTAATCTCATCGATATGTAGAACACATTCTGATGTAATCGCCATCGTGAACCAACCGTAATCTGTGTGCGATATACATAGTATCTATTAATTACTTTCATCAACGATTTCATGCGCGATTGCGTTGATCTTCTCACGCAAAAATTAAATCCGATAATAAAATTAACATGACGTTAATTGGCAAATTCTAAAGAGCTTAATCAATTTTTTATACAGCAAAAAATACATGAGAGACAATATATGTAATTGATATCCGTATAATCAATTTAATTTTTTTAAAGATTTATAATTACATTGCTAATAGAAACATTTATGGGTCAAAAAGTTAGGTTCGTAATGCTTGAGAATAAAAAGATTTATCTAAGCAACTATCGAAGAGTTAGAAGTTGTTACTTTATTCAGATCAAATTTTTCAAAAATCTGCATTAGTCCAAAGTCAATTTATGAAACATTCAAATATATTGCGCGCGCGCGCGCGCGCGCACACACACACACACACACACACACACACACACACACACACACACACACACACACACACACACACACACACACACACACACACACACACACACACACAACAGAGACGCAAGTCTATATAAGCGCCAATGTTCCTTAGCGATTAACACCTCTCAGACGCGAATGCCGGTCGTGACCGAAAATCAGAAGTCGAGTGTTTGCACGCGACACGTAATTCGAACGCGGAACGTCTGTGCAGCAGATCCCTAGTCTTTCCGTTTCCGTGTTGGATGACTGAACACAGCTTCTGCGATCACTCGACTCCGATCCCGCAATTTCCTAACGGACATTTCCTAATGAGTTTTCAGAACCTGGCGAGGCTTGCTAACTCGGCTAGTTAGCCAAGTTCAGTTTTGCATTCGTATCAATCATCCGTGAATAGTACGTGCATAATACCGCTTGTTACACCTTGATATGACAGGCCTGACGGCCTCTTAAATACAGAAAACAGGTAGCGCGAAAATTAACATCTGTTTTGTAACGTATTATGCATTCACGTTTTATCTTTAATTTTATTGACTCTACGATTATTTTACAGTCAATTTTTTGTAATAAAAAACATTGTGTATCAAGCTCATAGCGAGTATTGTCATAATTTAAAAGATTATTATTTAAGTTTAAATGGAATTTATTTTATTATAAGTTTAAATCACGATTTGCTTTCCAAGATATTTAATATTTATAATTACTTTAGCTTTAGCAATGAAGTTGTGCAAGATTTCGGGGAAAAATATATTTGCTATGTTAATAAAACTTAAAATGGAACAGACATATATTTGATGTTCTGAAACTGTAGCTATGATCTGATTGGACGCTCTAAGATCCAAGGAATTACCATCGCATCTTATTTAAAAATTTAAAATTATTTAAGAGATGCTTTTTAATAATCAATATTTCAATTTTAGAATTCTGTACTGATGTTAAATAAATGCAATTAAATCAATCTCTAATTAATTTAGATAATTATGTGTATCGAAATTGAAATTATATTCTATTTGTTGAAAAAAGATTTATCAAGTAATGATCTTATGTTACAGTTCTCCATTTTCAATTACCGTAGGTTCGCCGTGTTCCATTGCGGATAATGATGATTAATGCTTGCCCGCGCGATGTCCATTAGGACCAGATTAGGGAAATGACGTAACATACTCTGTTTCTGACATCTCACGTTACTCTCAATACTCCGCGACGAATAATTCAGAATTTTTGGAATTAATCCCCGAGCGGCGCGCATAAAGTGTGACTTGCGTCGCGCACATCTTACGCTCATGCGCCAAATCAAGACCGTACATATTGCGAAAGGCACCATCGTTTCGGAATTCTTTTATTTCATTCTCCAACGCCATTGTCTTTCTCATTGTTCGGACTTTATTATCTGCGAGAAAGAAAAGCCTGGATTTTTTGCAGATATTTCCTTTGATACCAAATACTTTTGGAAATTTTAAATAAATTTCTTTAGATGAATTGATTTCTCAAATCGCATAATTCTACTAATATATGGGAGAAAACGAATAATCTCTTGGACTTTATTGCATATTTAAAGTAGACATACAATAAACGATCGCGAGAGAATCTCGTTTAACGCAAAGTTTAAATTTTCCCATATTATATATATCATATGGGTGTGTTTATCTTGACATTAAAGATAATTAAAGAGGAGTTGCTTAAAAAAAATTTAATTTTATCAAAATTGAATTATCAAGGCGCATAATATAAAAACAAATGCATCAAAATATCGCAAAAGATCTATCCCACAGTGGTGGGCTTCAGTAGGACACTAACTTCGTTTCGTCTCATTTCTATCCTGTGATTCGATGCATATCGCGTTCGATATCATTCGTTAATACGAACTCCACACGTGGGCGGGCTTCGACTTCGTTTATCGAGTCGCCGCCCCGGTTACGGTCCTGGCGAGGCAGGTTGGTGGCGAAGGCCGCGAGAGTGCCGCGACATAAAGAGGCACCCCTCGCCGTCACCCACAATGGGATGAAGTCGCGGTAAGTCGTTGTTTCGTTTGCCTTATCGCGCGACGCAACATTCGCGATTAACGCGCGCCTCGCGTCATCGTCATCGTCACCACCACCGCTGCCGCCGCCTCTGTCATCGTCGTAGTCGGCCGCATCGCAAACGCGTCTCGCGCCAGCGACTCGACAGTTCACAGGAGATACCCGGGGTGTTGTCAGACGCTCTCACCGAGGGTGGGCGGTGTCAGGTTAGGTTCCCGTCCAAGGGTGAGTCTGACAATTTCGGAGCACAAGCGCCGAATTCCAACTACGATTAATATTCGCATATTTCATCGATTGATTTCTCGTTTCTTGCTGAATAATCCAGTAATTAGAGAGAACGTATGAACAATTATGGCTATCCGCCTGTAATCAAGCCTGAGTTACGCTCAAACGATTTTACGTCTCTTCCATTGACAGGCATTGCTTTGTTTACGTTGCGCTTTTCTCGGAGCAGCGTGCACTCTTTGTCTTGCTCTTTGCCTTCTGTGTCTTTTTCTTTCTCTCTGAAAGCATCAATGCAATTGACGGTCCACGTCCATAAGCGAAGAAATTCTTTTTGGAAAAGAAAATTGAATTTTCTGGTCGCTGCAAGAACCCTTGAATTTTTTGTTAATTATTTTCAAGTGAATGAGATAAGACAAAAACAGATAAGAGAACGTATAAAAGAATTAATTCTTTTGTTTTGCGTGTTGTTTGTTATTAAATTAATGCTCTCTATTTGTTTATTGGCATAGTTAACATTGTACCAACATACTTTTTGAAACCTTGCGCTTTATATCTATAATAATCAATATTTCATAGTTTTGCATTATTTAATTCAAAGAATGTCGCTGTCGAGCACATTAATATTTTATCGTTTATTTTAATGAGTAAATAGCGACCGATATACAACATAAAACATAAAATTAATAAATATTAACATTTCTGGTTATTGAGATCTTATATCTAATAATAATTTTATATATATCCTGTTTTTATACTTCTAAACTTTCTATTGTTTACCTTAAGCCAGAATAATTCAATAATTTAATTATTTATTAAGTTCAGATGATTTATAATTCACGTCGCATTTCAGGATAGAATTTTATCCGTAATTTTATATGCTGTTATATGTCTTTTGTGACGAATGCATGTATTTTAATATATATTTTATATATGTATATGTATTCCTGCTTCTCTTTACTGTTTTTTTTTCTTATTATATTATAAAATGCATAAAATCATAAATAAAATTCTCTTTTGAATTCTGACATAAATATAAAATGGGCTTCAAAAAGAATATTATAATTATTCAAACAAAAATTCTGATAGATCTACAGTTCCACAGCAATTTATTTCAAGTAGATATCTTTTTACAAAGTACACTTTTTACGCCAATGCTTTGTCTACCATGTTAGGACGATACATTTAGATTATATATAATTTCGAACAGAAAGGAAACTTTTTTCTCTCATATCTTGAGTCTCACGGTATGCTTACGCACGATAGCGAGCAGCACGCAATCTAATCCGCAATTTCGCTCATTCCACTGCTGCACGCATCTGGACGTTTGTAGTCTTTGTACCCGTGAAAAGGGCGAGGTTTGCGAGACTCTATGGGTCCCAGGATCGTAGCCTGAAATTAATTCCAGCGTGCATGAAAGTTTCACTTTGAGCCCACTTTAGATCTGTAATTTATGTCAGAATTTAGGATAGAATTTTGTATGCGATTATTTATTACTTTGCTTACAATTTTATATGTCAAAAAACATTTGAAGAATCAGAAACATATTTATATATATATGTAAGATATTAAATTACACATGTATCGAAATTCACGGCATAAATCTTGAAATTTTGACATCTGACGCGAGTTATTCGAAATATAATTTTAATAAAAGAATCTAAATATGCAATATTAATTTATAAGTTGACAATAATAATTACTATTGAAGATAATAATTGTATTTCCAGACAAATATTGTTAAATTTGAATGTAAATTATGGATAACATTTTAAATACATATTAGATATTCACATAGTTAAGAAATGAATCTATATTATTTCTATATTTTACATCTGACAATGAGCGCTTCTCTTAGAATTACGGGAATTAATCCTTTCAGTATTCACATACATCCGTTTTCAATAGTTCTCACCATATATTTCAAACTAATAAGGCAGAGTTTCGCATTCAAAAGCTATGAATACAGCTGAACTTAAATATGACCGTCTAATTCTCAGCTTATAATTCAGATATATTTCAAATATGAATATCAAACATTTACATACAATAAGTGAAATTATTAGGTTTTTTATTTAAGGAAAAAATAATGAAAGATCGCTTTATATTCAAGGAATTTTATTTAATATACAGATTAAAATTTAACAGTTTACTAATGTTGGTTTTAAAATCCGCTAAAATTATCTATGTTATTTTTATTTATTAGTAAGAGTAGCACACCTTAAACCATAGCAGATGTTTTGAGATGCGCATAATTCCCGTAACATAAATATGCAATTACATATGGAGAAATATAGAGATTATTAAAAATACACAAGATAAAATAGGTACACGAGATAACTTCCAGTGTGTGTGTGTGTGTGTGTGTATGTGTGTGTATGTGATTGTGTATGTATGTGTAAGAGCCAGTATTTCTGACATTCTGACATCAAATGTTAGATGTATTGATAACTCGCCATCGTGATGCAGAATGAAGGAGCCAAGCGTTCTTGTTTCGATAGAGTAACGAGAAGTAACCGCCAAGCTGGCGAGCCTAACGAGCTGCGTGTCGACGATGATGGATGACGAGGAGCAGGAGGAGCTCCGTTGCACCGGCAGCGACGTCGAGATCGAGGAGTATACCGACACCGAGGAGTCGCCATATGTCGCTTATCAGGCCGGTGGCGATAAGCTGTTTGATACGGATCGTGAAAATTGGCAGCAACTCCGTTTCCTGGCCACCCTCCTGTCCGTCGCGGTATCAGTTACCGTACTCGTTATCAGCTATCCGCTTTATCTCGAGAGCGTCGCCGCTGTCTCCAGCGCTTATACAGGTAGACCGAGATGTATATGTATACACGCGGGTATCAAAACGCACACGCCCAAATACACACGCGATATAGCCTTTACGGATCGCAGCAGCGCAGGCACACGTGTGATATCTAAATTAATGTGTAGCGCCAAATTGAGCGGCCAAGCTCGATCTCGCAATTCCGGGATTTCAGGATTAGACATCTCGGGGATCAATTTCTCGGGATCGCAATTACTGCAAACAATTTATTTATATCCGTGAACGTTCGCCACATGCCGTGAGATGAATGCGGCATATAACTCTCGGGATCTCGTCATTTCCAAAATTACAGCTCGCGCTGGTGAAATAATATCACGAGAGAAGCAACCGAATTACGCGAAGCACTGTAATAGTAGAGGCCTAATTTTTAATAAACTCGCAATATTTATATATATATATGCTAAAAGATGCAAGAAAACGAAACGTGAAAGTTAAACTTAATCCTTTTCATTTTTGATAGTTCTTGTTGATTTGTTAACAATTGACTCGTTTATTTTTTAACATTATTGACTAAAACATGAGAATGGAAATATTTATTCGGCTAGAATAAAGCCGAAATTGGACGTTAATATTAACGATTCAATTAATTTAGTGACGATGGTTTTGTTTCGACCTTTTCGCCCAATTTGCGGCGATGTAAGATGTCTCTCAAGCGCTTATATGTCCCCACAATTCTCGCAGGACTTCTTTTCACTGCCCTGTGCTCCGCCTGCATTTTGGGATTAGTGTACTTCGCCGTGGACAGGGTGTCACCACCACCGCCGTTAATACCGAACAGCATGCGGATCAAGATACCCCGCTGCGGTCTGATCAAAATAAGCACTCTGTACGCCCTCTCGGGAATCCTGATTACTTTGTCCCTCGACCGGAATAGGGTGCTGTGCCATTTGCAGGATCCAATAAAGGGCATCACCCTCGTCTTCTCTCTCGTCTACTACTTCTTTTTTTGTCGGAAAAGTGAGTGCTTTTGAGAAATTGAATGTTTTGTGTCATATTGAGTGTTATTAACGCTTTAGCTTATATCATAATGAACAAAATAGCTTAGCGTTCATGTAATCGCAGTAGACATTTTTTTTTTTACACAACGAAACATTCGCTAAACATATGCAATTAATATTTTAGACTAAATGTTGCATTTTATATTTAACTTATATGCAGAAAGCATTAAGCTTCAGAAAGAAATTGAGTATTTATTCTGCGGCACAGTGCATGTTAGCCTTAGAAAAGCTATTCTTTCACAAATTAATTTTTTCTTTTTTAATTGTATCAACTTCGAATATTTTTAGGAGATAGTTTTTCTTGTTTTTTTTTTCCGAGACATATGATCCTTTCCTTGAATGCATATTTCCGGAATGCCAAGCGTATTTTCCTCGAATGTTTTCAGTGATGAGCTTGCAGCGAATATTCTCGAGCACGACTATAATAGTGGGTCTATTCATAAGCGTCGATTATGGTCTCTGCGACGAATTCCGTTGTCGGGGAAGGGAGGTTTCTTCCCACACGACAGCCGCCATGAGGGGAACCTGGGGTGCTCGAGCGGTTTGGACGTTCGTTTACGTGGGCGCTCTTGCCGCCTTCGCCATGTTCTTCACCATGCTCGAACGCCATTACACCACCGGGGTAATTTATCATCGACATTCTTGCGCAAATCGCGATGTATTTGCAACACCCGTGCGGGCTCTCCGATGATATATCGACGCAATTTTTATTAAAATCAATCCTCGGGAGAATTTTTAATTTCGACCCTCATCAACGAAGAAACGCGATTTTTATTAAGTAAAAGAAGAAGAAAAATGTTTAAAGATTTTTTATTCGCTAATTATGTACATTTAATATGGAAAGAATCACCATTTATCGCAGATCGTTTCTGTGTAGCTACGGACGACCTGGAAATGTCTTTTTTTTCTCGGATATTTGCGGACACGTGGGTTTTTCGTTTGACATATTAGTTTTTTGGCCGTCGGATTTTCGTTTACATCTTCCGAACAAACGGATTTCGGTGAAACGAGTGACGTCCGTGATCTCCCGCTTCCAGCAACAGAATGTGTGCCAGATGTTGACGACGCAGCACAGCTCTTTTCTATATACGGTATCCCGTCTGGTGTCCTCACGCGATATTCGCCGTCGTGGCTCCGAGGAGGAGGGCGGCCGACTGCTGCACGTGACCGATCCGGATCCCACGATAAAGCCGAAAAGCTACCCCAAGCCACCGGTGATGCAAACCCTTTTTTACATACACGTCATTACTTTCTTCGCCATTCTGACGCTCTGCTGGCTCGACACTTTGCCCGGCATCGGCAGGGTGAGTGGCATAAAAAGAGACATGTATATATCGCTTATCTACCCATTACCGACAAGTCAATTTTTGGGGAATTATTCTCAGCCAAAGAGCTTTAAGCAAAAATCTTTAGTTCTCTGTAACTCCATATCAATTATCTTAAGTTTGCAATTAAATCTATACTGAAAGAAAGACAAATTTAAAAATTAAAACATCATCATCATGTTTCCATGGTGTAGATTTGGTAGATTTGAATTTAGAATTTTAAGTGCTAACACATTGTTTTGAAGTTCATGGAAAGCCGAATCCGTCATATCTTTAATCGTTATTATGTAGAATTTTAAAACTTTAATTATTTTAAAACCTATAAACAAATATCTTCCTTTCTGTTCCCTATAAATATATGTTTCATAGAAATATGTTCCCTATAGAAAATATCAGCTAAACTTTACTTAATAAAAATAGTTTCTTTTAATGGTGTTCCAGGGTCTATCACCCGTAGAACTTTATCGTACCGTCGAGCGCGGACTGATATGCCACTTTAAAGGTGGCAATCTGTGCACGAACGTTTCCAGCCACGGATGGACTTTCCTATTCGCGTATGTCGTCTTCGCGATCTCGATCCTCAATTTCCTGTCATTGTGCGAAAGCGCCGTGTTCAGCGTGGCCACCGCGACCGTCTCGCTCCCGCTGTCTGGTATCTGGTGGAGTATTTACAGGATGGACGTCGGTTTACACGGGGGTAAATAAGTAGTGCATGGAATGTTGTAGTTTCCGCTTGAATTTTGCAGCGATTTGTCTCGCGAAACTTTGCGTCATATTAAAGCGGAAGCTAGTCGCGTATAGAGAATAGAGATACAAGATTGATGGAAATTTATTTTCTAGAGTTACGAATATTATAATCTCCAAAAATCGCGGATGCTGATTGCAGCAGAAATGTTTGAACTTGTTCCTTTTTACGAAGATATTTGATTATATATCAGACGAGTTCTATTTATAAATTAGACATCCGGATTTTAAACTCTCAATTTTATAAGGAGTAACGTGGCACATTACGTTATTTTCTCACAGACTTCGCTATGCTTTACGAAGATCGATTGATCTAAGCGTGTAATTGCAAAAGCCGAACTTCTGAGGAAAACATTGAAACAGGTTCCATCTCCTGGTCACCGGGAGTGACGGGCGAACTGATCTGCGCCTTGCTCGGTCTTCCTGTCGTGCTGCTCGGTCTGGGCCTGCTCGTCAGATCGCACTTCAGAGACACCCATCTTCCCTACCAGACCATTCAGCCGCCCGACATCCAACCGCACGAGGCCTGTCACAGATGAATCTCTCTTTAGCATCTAGCCTGGCCTCGCAACGAGGTCCGCACTACGTGCGATGATCCACGGAAATAAATTCTAATCGATTCGATGAGATAAGCCGTCGCTCCTAACGTCGAATCGACGTAACAACACAAATTTCACTGAGCCGGAGTAATAATGTTATTGTTGTACATTTGACAGATATATTTTGTCGACTGTTCCCAGATTGCACCGATGCTCTTTTCCTTCGATCGCGAGGTCACTAAGGTAAAATGAGATGTTCGATTCAGCCGCGTATGTTCTGTCACATGCTAAAATACACGTGCATCAATAGCAAATGGTTGATTTGACGTCAATTAATTTTGGTCATAATGCAAAGCTTTTTTTTTAAATAAAGAATTAAAAAGGAATTAACTTAATTTTATTTAAGGAGAATAATTTATTCTAAAACGATCTTTTAATTACATTTTTTATTATATTAAATAATATTTATTGTAAACATAAACGTTAAACGTCAATATAATTTAGTTGAGATTAAAATCTTTATAACGAAAATTAAAATAAAACCAAGATTAGTTGACGTTGTTAAAAAAAATCAGCCGAAAAATTTTGAATGGTGCTATTGTTTTAAATGCAATTTATGCGCGCGCACGCCTGCAAAATTCATTTTTCCGAGAGCTCACAGCGCGCGCACATTTATGATAAGAAAAAGCGGCAATATCGATAACTGCTCATACGCGAAAAGAAGAAGGGGCGGTGGTCGCGCGAGAAAGGAAGGAGAATGAAAGCGATCAATGTTTCCTACGTATTTGCCAAACGCGAATGTCCGCGCCGTTACCGGCGCGCGACAACGTTATAGCCGATTTATATTTTATTTTGATAACGAGATGTTTTATATATTTTCGAAGTTTAAATTACACGTGTTGAGAACCGGAGTAGAAAGATAACGAGGCAAAGGGCTCGAGAAAATGCATTTTTAGCTGTGAACCTGTGTGCACAGGAGTTCCTTAAGGGCGTTCTAATCTCGCTGACTTCCGAACTTTAGTGTCGTTATTCTCAAATTTAAATGTTTTTGAAATAAAAAGTGGAAGTGAAATACATTTGTACGAGGACCAGTTTTAAGATGATGCTAATTAACAAACGTTTTAATCACTCAATTATCTAAGATATTATCTCGAGAATTTCTTCCATTTCTGCCTAAAATATACATGTTTTTCTAGAAATGAACCACTTGCAAATAACAAATGACTTTCAAACAAGATCTATCTCGTTACGATACAATGAATCTCTACGCTACTATTCCTAATACCGCAATTATTCATCTACTTCTAAATCGGAGATATCAATTTAATTTAATTAATGACACTTCAGGTCCAATGCCAATCAAATAGTTAATCTCTGTTAAACGTCCCAGTGGAGTTTGCTAAACGATACTACTGAGATATCGCCAAGTAGGAAACGAATATATGTATAGAAATTCCCTTGACGAAGTTAAATCTTGAGAAATCGAGTCGCATCGTAAACTTAGCTTCGCACATCGAGCCCTGTGCACACAGATGTATTATAGACAACACTGCACTTTGTCAAAGACAGAGACTTACAAGAGAACGGTCCGTTACGGCTGCAGTCACGGTTTGCAGCTTCCACGTTGGGAATAAAGTAATAAAGTAATAAGCGAGCGACTGAGATACGCATGCGTGCATGTGTAGGTGATTTTCCCTCTACTACGTTTCTGCTAACATTAGACAGTTACTCTATCAATAATTTGAGCGCACAAACTGTTACGAACTAATTGGGTCCTGGCCGCGCGCGGTTAACTTCGCCCTGCTATCAACCTGTAAAACTCGTTGCGCGTCCATGGAAGTTTCCAAATAACGTTAACCGCCCGTTACGCGCCGTTAGCAAAAATTTCTGCCAAGGCGTGTCTTCCTCTTCGCTAATCATAGTGCCAATTACGCGTGACTATAACATAGGGCACGTCTTTCGTTCATAAATATAATTGAAATTGTCTAAGTATTGATTTTACAGCAAAGAGAAAAAGTTCGAGAATTTTTCTACGTGTTACCCTCTTTTTGTCGATACAAGATTTTACGTTCATGGAACGGTCGTCTTATTTTTCCACAAATACATGATGTCAGTAAAAATGTTTGATTTACATTTTCTCGACTGTCAAATAACTTCCATTTTATTAATTAGTATTTCTCTTTATTTAAAAAATTATTCTGATAATTTTTTACTTCACTTTTTTCTCGTTTACCTACTTCTGTCTTTTTAACCGCCACACCGCGATCCGTCGGTTATCATAACTTTTTGTGGAACTAACTCTTTACTCCCCGTCTTTAGAACTTTTCCTTCTCCCTGGAGTGAAATAACCAAATAATCAAACTTTTCTGAAAGAACAAAAAGGAAAATCAAAAGTTCAAAAGCGGCTCAGAGCGATTTTCACGGAATGAAAGAAAAAGAATATTCGTGCCAAAAACTCACGAGTCACATACGACTCGACTTAAGCTAAGTAAGTTCCATACGCATTTGCATAGTGGTCGCATTACTATTTCGAATAATAATGATGATGATGATAAGATAATAACAATAGTAATAACATATAAGTGTCGTTATTTATGTCAGGTGTCGAATCGCGATACGCGGCGTAGCTTGTTGACAGCGATTATTGAATTCAGGCTGTAAGTTAAGTAGACCGTAAGTCAGAAGAAGATATTAACTTTGTTGGAAATATGTGTCAATATCGTATATACGGGAAGGAAAACAGCTATACGTCCACATTTTTTACAGTAGCAGTAATGGCGAGGCGTTTTAAGAGAAAGTAAGTAACTAACTAACAGCGCTGACTGAGTGCAACGATAATAAAGTTAGTACGCCATTCTCTCCTTGTTGCAGTCAGTAGCTTCGTCGATAAATCGACTACCGCTGAAGGCGCTGAATGTCATAGTAGTAGCCCTCGTAATGAAGTTGAATATACTCTCTTGTGCTGTGTCTAACATAAATATAATTAATCGAAGGCTCTGGCACAGGAAAAAATATCGACCAAATCAGATTATGAACTTTTTTGGCAAAAAGAAAAACTTTGGCATCTTTTTATTATAGCGAAAGTCTGTTACTTTTAATTTCCAACGAAGTTTTCGTTTTATTCGTCACGTAACTATCCATGTTCCCAAATTTAGAGAGTAGTTTTCGCGAAATTTGAAACAATCTCTTAATGTGCCAAAGCCTTCAATTTTAAACATGTACAAGAACCGTTTCTGTGCGTATGTACTTTACACATATATATTTGTTAATTCTTGAATGAATATGCGGCGTGTAGCATAGAGATACAATTTATTTATAGATGCCAATATATACGTCGCACAATTAACATACTCTATATACATATACAAGAGTTCAGATAAAGGAATTGAAGCGCAATTTGAAAAATTGCTAGACTCAACGTTCCCCCATTCGTCCATATTCGATTCTGGTAACGAGACTGAAGCGAAGATGCGAAACTCGCGTTATGCATTTGACTCCCCACATAACTAATTGTAAACATTGAAATGCAATAATTAAATAATATTAACTTCCTCTCGTCAAGACCCCGCACGGAAGTACGCTTAATCAATTTTGCGACAAATATTACTTTCGATATTGACGTATTCCGTTATGATGCGGCGCAACATTTCGCGTCAGTTTTACCTCCGTCTCCATGCGTCGATGTTAAGTAAAATTTAGACGTAAAAAATTAGAGACGTTTGTAAGTTATTTTGATGTAAATTGGGATTGTTGATCTTTTCAATAATGCGTACCTGTGCTTTACACATGCATAAGTAATAATGCTTCTGATTAATCCGTTGCCAATGTCTATGAGCTACGAAAATGCTCATGTCATAGCTTTTTTTATACGACGAAAGATGTAAAACAAAAGAACTCTCTTTCCTAGAAAGACAAGAGATGTGGATATTTATTATAAAGCAACGTATGAAGAAATCACTTTAATAGTAGTGATAATGTACTTTAATCTTTATTTATTATAACATTTTATCAAATTATGAATTTCCGTAATTCTTTTTTTCATGCCTTGAGAATTTTCGTGATCAATAATACAAAAATGTTACACAAAGCGTTACTAAATTAAGAAAATTAAGAAGTGGAATAGCAAAGTTTTCTTCGATGATGTCAGAATGACAGTAGATGATTGTACCTCTACTGCATTCCCTTCAGATATCGACGCTTTAAAGTGATTTTATTAATAATCTAATTATATAATGGGTGTCTTTCCGATAATGCATTGCGCAAAGTTCTGATTGTAAAACCTTCAGAGAAAATACGCGCGTATTATTTTTAGAAAAAACAAAGAATGTGGCCATTAATGGCAATTAACAGATAATTTCTCGAACACGAAAATGAATATTGTAAGTTGTAAGCAATAGACTAGTTATTTCTACACAATGATTCCGTCGTCGGCTGTTATGAACATGTTAATATTCGCGAAAACGCGGAATCTAACATTGCATTATTTGTATATGATGACTGTTATCATCTTCTGCGGCTTTATCGAAGCACCTGTAGATGTAATCGCAATAATCGCGGTCGAGACGTTGTAAATTGTCGAAAATAATATACGCTACTTGTCGTCCGATATTTCGCTTGAAATTTGTTAACGACGCACGTCACGTCGCGTCGCGTAATTTTGTGGGAGGTAATATACAAAAACGAGAAGCTTCGCTCAAAATTTGTGATGCCGTCTCCATATATCGCTGTTGTGAGCGCTTCCGGTCGTGGATATGATATATTAAATGTGCTAATATACATATATACATATATATATATACATATGTATTTACTTATATAAAAAGTTATTGTTATATCTTTTTTCCCACCCGAAAAATTCAGTTACAATTAACTTCATCAATGTCAGCTAACAATAAATTGGTTAACTAAATCTTTCTCTGTTTGCGTTACAATTAGCACACTGTAAAAGAATGTAAAATTATAAATGCAAAAATGGTAAAATTGACAATGCAAATGTATATTACAATAATAATTTTTGCATAGAATTTTACAGATTCTTTTTACAGTGTAGAAGAAATGAGCGAAGGGATGGATAGTGAAACTACTGTTATGGGGTTAACTAGTAAAGATAATTTTTAATGCATTTTTAACAATTTACATAACAGTGAACACGCCAACTAGTTTCACTTTCACTGGTCTTTGTACGTAGATATAAATATTTTCTGATTTATAGTGAATCTTGAACTTTGTTTAATGTTCTAAAAAATTAACCGATAAAATAATTAAAGAAATTTACATGCTGACATTATTTATAAGAGTTTGTTTTAAATTTATGCGATTTTTAATATTTCTGGTTCTCCTGACAACCTTTTAATTAAAATACAATCTTTCCCTCTCTTTGGAGCGAATTTTAGATACTAATGCTTTTATTTTGATATAAAAGCGAATGACTACGTTTATGTAAAGTCCAGAATAAAATTCGACGTTGTCAGAGCTTGCGGGCGGTTAATGTGGCAGTCTTGTGGACATTGCCTATCCTGTCGGACATCTTTTTGCCGCCACGTATGTAATCTTCATACCGCACTTCGGCGAGTGTTTCGAAATCCAATTTTTCCATGATTCGTTGACTGAAGATCGAGGCGGCGACGGCAAAAGCCACTTCCGGTCGCACGTACTCGTTGACGATTTTATCGGCTACGCAGATCTGCTTCAGTTTTCTAGCGCGTAAGCCCCGCGCAACCTCGAGGCTCTTCTGCGTGATTTCCAGACCGATACCGCGCTCCTGACATTTCGGATCCGTGCCTATGTAAAAGATTTCCATGGCACCCCGCGCGTTGTATTTCCCGAAGACGTCTACTCGCGATTCTATCTGATAACGAGAATAACGTGATTTAGCATGCTTGACAAGCGATAAGCTCATTAGAATCTGCTGCATGCATTTCTTAAATTAGATGATTAAAAGTTACTGTTTGATTTTAGAGAGAGAGAGAGAGAGAGAGAGAGAGAGAGAGAGAGAGAGAGAGA